AAAAAAAAAACTTAACCAAACTGTGAATATATTAATATTGTATGTGTCAAGTCATTCCCAAATTATGAACAGCCTGTGAATTAATGATCGGGAAAGATCCTATGATAAAGTTCCCAGGTACTGCAAACTCAAGACTGTGGAATCCTTTACTGAGTCAATCCATCGCATGTTTAGTCTTCCTCTTTCCCCGCTTTTCCTAGCATTATTGTTTCTTTCAGTGACTCTTGTCTTCTTACAAAATGTCTAAAATACAGTGGGGTCTTGACTTGAGAACTTAATCCGTATTGGAAGGCGGTTCTCAAGTCAAAAAGTGCTCAAGTCAAATCTGCATTTCCCATAGGAATGCATTGAAAACCATTTGATCCGTATCTGCTCTTTTCCGTCCATAGAAACTAATGGGAAGCTGCTATTCCGCCTTCGACCACTAGAGGGGGATATTTTGTTTCTTTTTTTTTTCTTAGGAAGAAAGGTTCAGGGAAGGCAGGGAAAATACAGTCCAGGCAGTACAGTACCAGGCAGTCCGAAGACTGTCTCCCAATCCACTCTCTAAACGCTGGGAGGAGTGAGGAAGCAGACAGGCACCCTTTTCACTGGCCAACAGTTAACTGAAAGTTCACATTTTGCACTTTCCCTGCCTCCCACGTGGGTTTTTTTCAGTTCTTAACTCAAATCTAAGTACTTAAGTCAAGTCAATATTTTCCTGTGAGAGTGGTTCTTAAGTCAAAATGTTCTTAACTCAAGCCGTTCTTAAGTCAAGACCCCACTGTATAATGGCTTCAACATTTCAGTCATTCGAGCCTCGAATACCAGTTCAGGCATGATTTGATCCCACTTGCTTGTCCTTTTATTGGCCCATGGTGTCAGCAAAACTTTTCTCCAATGCACATTTTTCCACTTAGCTTTCTTCACTGTTCAACTTTTACATCCTCAATAGCAATAGGAAATACTGTATGATCCTGAATGATCCTGACCTTTGCCTCCAGCAACACATCTTTTTTCTTAAAGATTTTGTCTAGTTCTTCATGGCTGGTCTTCCAATTCACAGTCTCCTCTAGATTTCTTGATTACAGTCTCCAATTTGGTAAAAAAAAAAAAAAACTGTTCAGCAAATTCAGTTTCTTCGCTGTTATCACTTATGAAGTTATGAAACCCCTTTGCAATCATTTCGGGTGGGGAGGGTTCATCTATAATTCTGCTTAGGGACTTATTTCAACATTCATCAGTGTCAATTTCAGATCATTACCACTTTCGGCCAATAATGTAGTATCATCTATATGACGTAAATCATCAATGCTCGAAAGGAGGTTTTCAGTCCTCCTTTGTTCATCGTCTGACTATAATTTCTATTGGATATGTTCTACATATAGATTGATCAGTAGGAAGATAAAATACACCTTGCTTGACACTTTTCTCATTCTTCATCTCCACATTTTTCCCTAACAATGGCTTCTTGTCCAGAGTACAAGACGCTCCTGTTACGTATCCCGACAATCAAATGCTTTGGCACACTTTTTTCTTTTAAAATGATCCATAGTTTTTCAAGATCCACCTAGTCAAGCTTTGCTGCAATCCATAACACACAAACTGATTTGCTTCTGAAATTCTTTGGCACCTTCCATACATGACACATATTTTCAATATGATCTCTATCACTTCTTCCTTTTCTGAATGCAGCTTGAACATCTGGCATTTCTTACTACATATCCTAAACTCTTTGTTGTAGAATCTTGAGTTGAACACTGCTTTCCTAGCGTAGAAAATTAATGTCAGGGCCCTGTATGCCATCCCTCTTTGGCATGTATTACCTTTAGGACTAGAATGTCTGCAACTCAATGTTTGGTTAACATATTCATTGCCAATTTTTGTTCCATTTTTTTAATCAATACAATCAGTGCCTACTTCATTTTCATTAAAAGACTGTTTCTTTAAGGAATCTATCATTCTTACATTTTTTTTCAATTTAATGTTTTCATATTCTCTTTATTTGTATCCTGATAAAATAATATGTCTCCATGTAGATCTTTCAACATCTCCAGTTTTGATTTACATTTCCTTTTGATTTATTCAATCATGTGAAAGGGATCTTGGGGGGCGTTGTTTGCTTGGTCTTTTCTACTTATTTTCAATTACTGTTATCATTGTTTTTTCTGCACATATATGCAAGCCATTGAAAAGTTACATTTAGAATTCTGGGACTACTTCTATTAGCTTTTTCTTTCATTTTTTGACTATCAGTAGCAAATTTAGGAAGTTTGTCGGTCATCCACTAAGGCCTTTCATTTCTTTTTACTACAGGAATAGCCTGTGTGAACAGCCTACCAGTGTACAGGAAAGGCTTGTTGTTGTTAAGTCATGTCCAACTCTT